GGAAGACGAAGAAGGCCTGGTAGCTTCAACTAGCGAAGGCAATAATTCTGGAAGTGATGAAAACAAGTGAGTATCAGTGTCCCTATTATATTTATTAACATTCTGTATTCACGAATCGCTTGTGATATATCTTAATTGTTTTTTTTTATTTTCAGATCGGAATCAGACACCGGAACTCTTCCTCCTAAGAAGAAGTCCGCATACAGTCTAGCTCCAAATCGAGTCTCATGTCCATACTGCCACCGCAAGTTCCCCTGGTCATCGTCTCTCCGTCGACACGTTCTCACCCACACGGGACAAAAACCTTTCAAATGCCCTCACTGTCCTTTGCTCTTCACCACGAAATCCAATTGCGATCGTCATTTACTGCGTAAACACGGCGGCTCCGCTAGAGCTATACTTGCTGAACCAATCACAGAGTCAGCCTCTCCACCGCAGACAAATGATACTAGAACTGTGCCAGAAAGACCATTCAAATGTGCATCATGTCCAACCAGTACATTTTCTTCTATGGAAACTCTGAAGAAACATATGTCATCTCGCCACGGAACCGGCGATTCCCAACCGGGATCTCCGAATCCTGAAGGGAACGAAGAATTAGTGGACGGTCTTGTATTCAAGTGTCATTTATGTGAAGGATCTTTTAGCGATAGGAGTGGTGCTTTGGGACATTTGGCAGCGAATCATTCCGCGGAGTACGAACAGTTGGTCAGCAAAGGGGCTCTCGATGGTAATAGTGACCGCAGCGAAAGCGCCGATGATGACGAAAGGGGAAAATTTCCTGATCACGCTAATAGGAAGGTAAGATAAAAAAAGGTTAAATTACATACACTTACCTTATTATTACCTTTCGGACACGAAAAACAAACATTTCGGGGAATTACGATGGGGTAAAAGAAATTGTTATGATTTCATGCAATATCAATTTATTTTTAAACTTGAAGGAAATTGATACACGGAAAATAAACACTAAATTGAATTTGTTACACAATAAATCAATGTCGTACAAGTAAATAAAAGTAATAAACATGTTCATAACAATTAAAAATTAAGGAAAGACTATAAAAATCATCAAAGTAATTGCTTTAAGATATTATAGTTTACTATACTACTAGTCAATAACTACACCGTTTACCCTACAGTATTACAAATAAAGCTAAGTCTATATGCGTTTTTAGGTTGTGTGTGCATTCTGCATTCGTCGCTTCTGGTCGGCTGAAGATCTGCGCCGTCATATGCGCACGCACTCCGGCGAGAGACCGTTTGCATGCGACCTCTGTCGGCGACGATTCACACTGAAGCATAGCATGCTGCGACATCGCAAGAAACATCGTGAAGAACTCACTGATGATGAGGAAACTACGCCACCTAATACACCGCTAGAAAATTCTAATACTAACGGGTGAGTTGGTTTTTAAAACAAAACGAATTCAAACTTTTCATAACCAACCGGTTTTTGTATTTAGTTAACAATTGTTAGAAAATCAATTTAATATATATTTAACCCTTAGAATTTGTACAAAAATAATTTGATATCTATTATTAGGAAGAAAATCCGACACTGTGCCGTTGTACTGGCGCAACACTAGCCTTACCAAAATGTCGACGTTTATGTCACATCACTAATCATTCTGACACTTAACTTTGTAATGAAAGCGCGCCATTCGCGCCAAAGGATTCTAATAATGTCTAAAACTATAAGAACATGCATTTTAGTCATTATTGTTTCCTGAAAATATATTAGCATGTTGGAAATAGCGTGCAGAGAACTCTGGCGACATGCATCGACCGTACAAAGCTTAATTTATGCTAACATTAATGTAAAAATTTTACCGAAGTAAACCTAGGGTGGAAAATTTCAAAATTTGTTATTTTTTTTCTAGATATCGCTACCAAGATGATGAAGGTTCAGGCGGAGATGTGCCGAGCAACATCAATAATAATAACTCACCGCCATCTGTCCCATACGACAAGAAACTCAAGTTACAAATGACGTCACGCAAATACTCCTCAGACGCTGAGAATGATCCAGAAAATGGCGGCGATTTGATCGGCAAACTCCTTGGCATTCAAGACAAGACTATCATCAATAAACTCCTCTCCTCAGCGGATGAAGCGGCCAAGTTCCTCGGCGTCAACAAATGAGAGTACGCCTTAGTCCTCGTGACGCCTGCCAGGCTCATCCTGGCCCCGCGAGGACTAAAAATACTAAACAACCAAACCAAACAAGCTACAGCGCCATCTATCAACGAGTAGATTTATAATATGTGCGCGGGGATTAGTGATGTCCGATTAACGCTGTTTTTATCGATTTTTTACTTAACGCTATAAAATATTTAAATATTTCTATTATTGCTTAATAAGATGTAAAAATTATGCAATATGTCGATGGTCAAAGAACATCTCTAGACTTTAGCTGCCTTATTGAATAGTAACCGTCCTTTTCTGCCTTAAATTGTACATTTTTAAATGTGGGTGACGACAACGAAAGATAAATATAGTGCCAGTTTTATTTTAAAAGTACATTTAATTCTTATTGTATCGTATAGTAATATGAATTTTAATTTTAGGTTAGAATTTAGCGTCAAAATGACGCATAAGTAGCAAGATATTTTTAAATGTCTATGGGAAAATAGCTTAAAAATATTCACGTTTGCATTTCCATCTAGTCGTGTTATATTCGATCTTTCGAACACCGTTCCGTTTCACGCCGTATTTTTCAATATTCACAATTTGTAATGGTGTATTCCAGACTAAAAAAAACCTTTTGCAATTAAATCCAAATTTTTCTAGTCAATCTCTTAACTTTTAATAATGATCCTAAGCTAAAATATACCAAAATCAATAGTAATTATTGCATTCAAATATTAAATAAGTCTTAGTATTACCAACCTCATTTTATCCTACCAATGAATAGATTGTAGTTCTCGGAAATAATTAGAAATATGTAGAACTTTCTAGAACTTTGTGTAATTCTTACAAAATACGATTTTTCTCTTCAAACGTCAGCACTTTTCATTCTTCAATACTTTTATAACTTTTAATTATGATTTTAATTCTAAGGTTAAATTTTATTTGCTCAAATTCATGGCATTTCTTTATCTTTTAAAGACTTTATTATATTAAAAAAGTTGCTTTTAAGAAAAAGTTAGGATCTCTTGTAAATATAATTTGCTAATTACATATATTTTTTTAATTTGTACCAAAGGCTTTGGGTGACTTTAGTTTACCGAGTATTTTATTGTAAAAATATAGTATTACATTGTTAAGGTTATTTGAAGGTTAATTTTAAGATTAATGTTAAAAAAAATATGTTCTATCTTTAGATTTTCGGTGCAGCAATAGTTATGTGAGTTTTGAACTCTTGATAGTTTTATTATTATAGTTATAGTTTAGTCATCTGAAATGGATCGACGAATCATACGCTAGATATACCTAAGTTGGAATTCGCTTTGTATAAACTTGTCGCTAAACATACCAAATATATCATCTTATATAAATAAAATAGATTTTTTAAAAATAATGATGTCTCTTAGTATTCTAAGATTGGTCCTATATTTTTTTCATAATAATTATTAAAATAGCTTAATAACTTCGAAAGGAAGTCTTAAAAGCAATATTGTAATTTATTAAAGAGAAGTGTTTAATTGAATTATTGTTTTAAAATTAGGAATACTTATTTAATAGTATTAATATATAATATTGTATTATTTAAATAGAAATCCTGCTTCATGTCAATTATAATTAAAAAGCTTTGTAAATTAAAAATAATTGCAATTTTATTTAATTTTATAAACTTTAATTTTTATATTTCTTTAGGGCCAGTAAGTAAATGGTTCGATGTTAGTTTTTAAGAAAACTTACGAATGTCTTACATAAGATTTACATTTAACTGTACTTAAAAATTAAAGAACTTTAAAATTAAGATTTAAATTAAGTATATTCTGGCAACACCGCTTGGCCTTTCAAATGTAGTGTCGTGTGTTTTAAAAAATGCTGTTATTTAATAAATATATTATCTTAAATATTGTTAAATATTACCAATTTAATTGTATGTGTGGTAATTCTATTGTAATAAGTATATTCACTTTTTGCCTCTCTTTCTTTTTGCAATAAGAGTGTCGTTTTAAAAACGTTTTTTTGTGAAATACATGATGTATTAAATAAAGAATTATTTGCTTTAAATTCGGAATTTTAATTTGATACTTATTTAAAAAGGTTGAATCAAACAACTCAGCCGAGAAATGTGCCAAAGCGTGAGTAAACTTTAATATCATTGCAACTGCAATTAATCCCTTTACATAAGTACACCATTTTTAAATTTTTTGTTTCAAGATCGATTTTTTTTAGTTTTTCTACTCAGCGCTAGATGGCGCAAGTTAAGAGAACTTCAACATCAATTGTAGGTTTAAAATTTGTAGATGGCAGCGTTACTATAGATCAATTTAAATGTAAAATGTTTCTTACATTAATTATCCTTCAAAAGAAGGTTAAATGTAATGATTTTTACTGCCCTTTTTTATTATTGTACTAATTAACACCCACACATTTTAATGAGCGATTAAAAACTAACACTTTAAGGTTGTTTAACTTATAATTCTGAACGCACTTCAACTCAATTAACTTTTACCAAATGCTTGACAAACCAATAAGCAAGCAGGGATACTAAGTTAAAAAATTTACCCCTTTTTATGGCTTGAATAAAAAAATCACCTGAATAAATAGTTTTTGAGAGCAACATAAATATGAAGTGACAAAAACAGGTTACATAAAATCAAATCAATTCACGATCAGTACTGCTATTTATGACGCTCGATGTAAGACGCTCCAATATACTTGATAACATAATAAAATTGTTTGTATTTTTTTCTTTAATTGTGTATTTATTTATATTGAATTAAAATAAAAATGAAACTAAATTCAAAACTTGGAAAAGATTTGTAATCGAATTACGTCTAATGAAAAATAAGGAATTTTGATTTGTAAAGTGGCAACCCAAGCTAGGTGAATGAAGGAATTTGAAGAAATAGAAAGAAGTCACTAATTTATGCGAGACGGCGTCTTTATTTTCAAATTTAATTGGTTAAGTTTTGAAGTGAGAACCGTGTTACATTGCTTTAGTGCCCTTGAACGATTGTTATAATAGTGTTAGTGAAATTGTAAAATACAAATACATATTTTGTTAGGAATTGTCTAGGTAAGCTTGTTTTCTATGCAATGCATTCCACATAGTGACGTATGGACTAATCTATAATGCACTATTTTCATACCTTTATTATGTGATATGATTTTCACTTTTAATTACTTCATCTATCGTTATTTACACGTAGACTCTAATTCTAACCATATTTTGTTTACAAAACCACAATTTAAAACTTTTACAGGAGAAGAATTATTCAATATGGGCGACCAACAGTTTTTCCTGAAATGGAATGACTTTCAGACGAATATGGTGACATCATTTAGACATTTAAGGGATGAAAAAAGCTTTACAGACGTAAGTACTTCTATTAATCCTATTTATAAGGTATTTTAAGATAATAACCTAGACTAATTATGTATGTACTTCCAATAAATTTAATCGTATCGTCAAAACTATGATTGTTGATTTTATAAAGAGCAAAAAATTACCCCCAATTATGCTGCAAAATTATTTACCAAATACATCAAAACATTTTAAATGCTTGCTTAACTCAGCTGTTGAAAGGCTTAACTGATTGATAAATAACATTTTTGTAGCATTAAGATTACTTTGAAGGTATTAAAGTTTATTTTAATACTTTTATACTGGATTTATCCTGTCATATTCATCTGGTTTCAGAGTCAGTTTTAATATTTATTTGAATATATTTCAGGTAACTTTAGCATGCGAAGGGCAAACATGTAAAGCTCATAAGATGGTGCTCTCCGCATGCAGTCCATATTTCAAAAGCTTGTTAGAGGTGAGTTTGTTTGAATAGAAATTTAATAGTTTTAACTTATAAGTGAACTAGCTGTTGCCTGTGACTCTGACTGTTTAGTATTGAAAAAAGAAACTTAATAAGTAGCCTATATGTTCTTCCAGACTATGTTCTTTACTGCACCAAATTTCATCAAGATCAATAGAGTCATTCTGTAGATACCTTCTAACAAACATCCATCCATCTAAATATTCACATTTATAATATTAGTTTGATAGTGGCCAAGTATACTTGTTAATTGTCCAATACCATGTAGCATAAAATTCTTAAATTTGATTATTTATTTATAAAACTGTGATTTCCCTGAAGCTGATTGATGGTTCTTAAGTTCTAAAAAATGTAACAGTATGGGTTCTTTGAAATCTGTATAATTTTGAACTAATCTGAGAAAAAACAGCTAATCTTGTCTAGAACATTATACATATAACTGACTAAATTGGTAACAATAAACATTGCAATGTGCACTCACAGGATGTTGTCATAACATTGTATCATCAACAATATTGATGTGTTTGTAATTTATTGACTATTATGCATACTTTTATTCATCCTGTATACACTAATCAAATCTTTCTATGTTTGCTTAGTAAATATCGTTTTTTAATATTAGTATTACACTTTCTGTAAATCTATGGATTTACAGAAATTTATATTACTCACAGAACATAATCTTACTAATATTATAAATGCAAATGTTTAGATTGATGAATGTATGTTTGTTAGAAGGTATCTCCAGAATGACTGAACAGATCTCTATGAAATTTGATATTGAAATAGAATAGGGTCTGGAAGAACACATAGGCTACTAATTATGTTTTTTTTTGTTCCCCGTGGTCAGAGTGGCCAGCAACCCCTAGTCTACACTAATGTTAATAATATTATGTGTGATTTCTACCTTCCTCTTATGATAAATATTTTACATCAACACTTAAAAGTTAATTACAGCTTAATTGGAAATTTTTAATTTATTGTTATAACTTAAACTATTAATTATGTTTGTTGTATGTAAGATATGTGTATACTTTTTTCTTTTTTAAGGAAAATCCATCAAAACATCCAATAATAATATTAAAGGATGTTTCTTACCTGCACTTGCAAGCGATACTGGAGTTCATGTATGCAGGTGAAGTGAATGTATCACAGGAACAGTTGCCGGCCTTCCTCAAGACTGCTGCAAGACTTAAGGTAATTTTGAAGTCTGTTGTGGTTATCCTAATTGTTTATTAGTTTTTTTAAAGACTCACCGTGACTTTCGAAGACCATTACCATTTAAAACTTTGAAACTTATCTCTGTTTTGTGAGATAAAGATAGGCACAACATGTTTTACATAGAGATTTTTGTCTCAGAAACTCACAGTAAATAAGGTTGTTGTGTTTGAGAAATAACAACGAAAAGATCCTATTCATTGACTTTTATTTCTTTAGAGATGTAACTCTTTTGGTTGGATGGGCCAATATTGATATTGATTCAACCACTTTACTGCTGACCTCTTGTTCAGTTAACTTGAACATTGTAGCAGTGTTGGATGTGTTAATATAGTCAGTTTATACAACTGATGTGAGTCAATTTATAAGATCAATGAGTTCTCAATTGATTTGAACTTGCCGAGCAAGTCGGCTGCACTTTATGTAAATTTTAAATTTGTTTATGGTTTATTTTAATATTAGTACTCCATATTTCAGGTGAAAGGTCTCGCTGAGCCTCCACCACAGATGCCTACTATTAAACGGGAAGGCTAACACCAGCTTAGTGTGCAAGTGCCCTATAGACTTTAGTGATTGAAACGGAGAACACCAATGTAACATAACTAACTAACCTCAACCGTTTATTTGATTTCAATACCTTAAGTTTATATCTACACATTGGATTTGGGTAAGTAAATAAATTCTAGACAATTATTGTAAATTTCAAATTTGACATATGCCTTTTAAAAGTAGGGTGAATTTACTTAGCATGTACCAATTATTGACTTTGATTTAATGGATTGGTGGTAAAGCCTAATTTTATTCTAGAATAGCAATTTACAAGTGAAATATTTTCACATTTGCTATATACAAGATTTTTTTTTTAATTATAAAATTGTTTAGTTTTTTTTTTAAATTACTTGAACTAATGTGTAGATAGGAAAATCCATTCCATATAAAAATAATTTGCTGACTTTCTATGGGTTTATATGCACATAAAATTTTTGTTGATAAAAGAAATTATTTAAAAAAAACTCCATAGAATCCATGAAAAAAGGTTTAATTGCTTCATAAAATATTCAATTTAAAAATAAAGTACAATAAAAGATATATTACTATATATTTGATATAAAATTATAACGGAAATGTTACTGGCACTTTGACAAATCATGCTTTTAAAATAATTCCTATATTTATAAAAATAAAAAATTGAAAAAAAAAAGTTTTTCTTGGACTTGGGTTTATGTCATCATAGTTTAAAAAGAATATAAGAGAAAACAAATTATCCAACCTCTTTAATTAATTCATACATCTAAATCAATCTTTCCGAAAGTGAGCGATAACGCACCTTTGTGGCCGCTGTAGGTCTCAAGTTACGGGTTATAGTAAAAGTTTCCTTTAGAATTCTCCGTTAATATACATATATAGGTCACTATAATTAATTAATTTAATTTGAAGTTATAGTGGTTTTTAAATATGTGAAAATATGGGGGTGCTAAAAAAATATTTATTCTCAAAGTGGGCAGTAGACAAAATAAGTTTGGGAAACACTGTGTGAACAAATTTAAAAAAGATAACACACAATTAGTTCCTTACAGATAAGAATCCTTTTTAAACATTACCAGTGGTAAAAATAGTATGATTTGTCAAAGTATCATTTGACATTGTTAGGTTATAGTTGTTTTTTATTTATAAAAGCAGTTAGCACGTTGTGTTAGCATAGACATGCCCTTAGACTACAACACTGTTATATCCATAAGTTACCTGTCGACCAAAGTGTGTTTAAGATTCTATTGTCTATTTCGCCATCTTGGTTATCACCAAGCCGCAGTTGCATTTAGAAATATTAAAAGGGGCTTTAAGAATTTACTACAAATGTATTACTTCAATTGATTTGTAATAGTTGGTTTCTGAGAACAAAATACGTGTATAAAATTAACATTTTACCAAAACAGATGTTTTATATGATCATTTTGGCCTCAGAAAACAACAATAAGTCATTAATATTGTCTACTAGCTGTTGCCCGCGTGGTTATATAAAAAAACTTAATTAGTGTAGCCCACCCATCCATCCATCTACATCCCATCCAATACATTCGCATTTATAATATTAGTAAGTGAAATAAAAAGCAGCTCTTCGAGGCATAAATTGGAAAAAAAATGAATAATTAGTATCCTATGTCCGTCTCCTGGCTCTAAGCTACCTCCTCACCAATTTTCAGCCATATCAGTAAAGCCGTTCTTGAGTTATAAATAGTGTAACTAACACGACTTTCTTTTATATATATAGATTTAGTGTAGTTCTTTTCAAATACTTTTACAATGTAATTTCAAAAGCAGGTCATATTCAATGATAGCAATAGAGTATTACCAAACTTACCAATTATGATTTGATAATACGAAGAGATAGACTTACTATGGGTTTCTGACACCAAAATTTCCATTTACAACATATTATCTCTATATGTTATAAATGGAAATTTTGGTCTCAGAAACCCATAGTAAGTCTATCTCTTCCTATTATTAAATCCTAATTGGTAAGTTTGGCTTTGTCAAAGTCACATGAGCATAAAATCCATATCTTTCTTTAGTGTTAGCAAGCACCGGACAGTCTAAAGTACTGTTTTATGTATGTAGATGTAAACATGTGAAAAGATTTTCTTGTGTCCCCGCTACATGCGACTGCGGCCTAAGGGCCGGACTGTGCTAGCGTCTCGATGCTCTTTACATAGATCTATCCACCAATGGTTGCCTTATTATTATTTACAATGCCCACTTTATACATAATAAAATATTTATCGATTCTCATTATAAAATTAAATACAATTTTAGTTATTTTTCATTGTAAATACATTTGTTTA